TTTTTATAACTTGAAAAATTGCAATTGAATTTTTATTTACCTTATATAATATCTAGTAAAATTCAAGTCATATGAATTTTAAACACAAATGTTAATACTTTAGCAGTTACCTAAAATACATAGTCTGAAGAAATTTTTGCATATTTTAAAAATGCTTTATATATTCCCAAGGCATAATTTTACATACCAGAGTCTTTTTCTGTTGTTTTCATATTTGAAGTAGTATAGCATCATTGACCACTTGATATCCTTGGATGGAATGAAGAATCGGATTGATAAATGGTTGTTTTCCTCAATTAGAGATAAATTCTAGCTATAAAGACGACACAAGAGCAAATACTTTATAGAATTTAACACATGGCAAAACAGAAGCTCAGGTAGGTCTTCACATTACGATAATGGACCATGAGACTTACTGAGGATTATTATTTCTTCTATCTTATCTAACAGGTACAACAAATACCACTCTGACTCCAACCGCACAACCCACGCGGAAATCTACCTTTGATGCAGCCAGCTTCATTGGAGGAATTGTCCTTGTTTTGGGTGTGCAGGCTGTAATTTTCTTTCTCTATAAATTCTGCAAATCTAAAGAACGAAATTACCACACTCTGTAAACAGACCCCTTAAATTAAAAAGGACTGGCGATTCATTTGTGTAACTCACCGAAACCAAAATAATCTTTCAAGATGTCCCACATGGAAGACGCTATTCCAGGATCTTTAAATTTCCAATGGATGCATATAGGATATTTTGGAGCATCGTCCTTGAAGAAAAAATCAGTTAAACCATTTTGTTCAACAAGAATATTTAAAATATTCTGCATGAATCCTTGTGGCTGTCTTCTTTTATTTTAAATGGCTGCTGCTGTGGGATTATGTTTCTTTTCTTAACATGCCAAATGTAACTTTCTGTAAGTGATGGAAAATGTTGTCCTGTGTGACAACCTCATGACTCTTGGCAGTTTAAATTTAGTTGTTTTAAAGCCTGAAAGCTGCATTATTTTCATCCTAACTCAAAATGTAACTTAGTGACCACAATTGAGAAGAGTGTGCCAAATGAGCATGAATCAGGTGGATTTTTGGCTATCATTTCAAAAGTGGAATAAATTTATAAATTTAGTAGACTAAACTGTATCCTTAGAGTAAAGTTCTATGCTTGATAACAGTTATTTTTTCTACATTAGAAATAAGATGCCACACAGGGAATTACATTCCAGATTTAAAGAAATGAATGGAAAGGATACAAACAATTAGTGTATAACAGGTTATTGTTCATACTTGTAAAGCACCTTATATTGAGAAAATAAAGAACAGTGCCTTAAAAGACAGACTGGAAAGGTAGGCTGTAACTTTAAATGTTGGTGATTTGTTCTTTCTTGAAGGTAAAGGTTGGTCTGAGGATATAACTTAATGTGAACAGTAGTAAACCTGCTTTTAGATATCATACTGGTAATATTTAATTGAAAACTTACTTTGTTTCAGTGCTGAGAAACTTAAGCTAAGGGATATTATACACAGTTGAAAGCCTTCATACATTGAGCCTCCCAACATTTTTCTTATGCCTGTTGAGAAGTATAGAGATAAAGTTGATTTAATTATATTTTCCTTTGTACTTCAAAAAAGTGTCCTAACACTATTATACTTTGAAAGAATTTCCACCAAGTTTTCTTGAAAAATAATTTCATGAGGCAAGAAGGATATAAGATGTTTTAGAATCATTTACTAACTCTTTAAATGAGACAATCATTTTAAGTTTATAGACAGCA